ACTATACCCTCTGTATTAACTTTCTTTTCTAATATTTCCCCTCACTGAGAAGGTTCAGGTTTGTCAGATGTAGTGTGGTATAATAATTGATTATTTATATAACTTTTTAACTCTGCTGCAACTAGATTAGGGGAAGGGGGGGTTATAGACTTTATCTTCTTTGTTCCCAATTTATATAACAAAGATACTTTTATCTTCCTCCTAGAGGTGTAAGAAATTATGTAAGTCTGTGTATGTGAGACCTGAATAATAGTAAAAGAGGAACAGTATGATTCTAATGTATTTTCAGTATAATAGTCGCATTTCTTAGATGGATTATAAACGAAGTTTGGTGACTGACAACAGAGTATGATCATTTTATTTTATTTTATTATTTTTTTAAAGGACATCCTTCAAACCAGTACTTATCCAGTTTTTCTTTATTTAAAAAATTTTTTTTTTAATTTTTATTTTTATTGGGGAATTGGGGGAAGGGGAACAGACAAGTTGCTGTTGTTTTGTCCTTCAGTCTAGTTGTGGAGGATGTTGCTTCACTGGCCCAAGTTGATACCATCCTGGGCGAGGCAGATCAGTCGCTGGCTTCTGGACGGCCTCTCACAGTGGCTGCTGGCTCCACACGGTAGCCCATGGCAACCCACTGCCACAGGGGCTGCAGCATATGCTGTCGCCAGCGACTCACGGCAGCCCAGCTCCAGGTCGAGCTGTTGTTCAGCATCTTAGCTGTAGAGGGCAGTGTCACTGGCCCTCATATGTGGAATCCGAACTGGGGCCCTCTGGCGTCCCAAGCCAGCTCTTAACCAACGCACCACTCGGCCTGCCCCAGAGTATGATCATTTTAAATCACAAGTATTACAGCTGCTAGGGGGTTTAGAGCTTATTTAGCCCATCCTGAGACCCAGGTTCAGAAAAATGTGGCGAGTTGGTAAATAGGAATTAAAGATTGACATTCCATCTTATACTTCAGTTTAATTTCCATTATCATGGTTCCATTTAAAATACTCAACTTTCTGATTATTTAAAAAATAATTCATTTTAATTACATATGTAATATAGTCTCCTGGGGAATCCTTACAATATTACAGATCAGGTTAAAGTCCACTTTGATCACTAAGCCAATATCACAAAAATATCTTTTTCAGAAGGATTCCTATGGTGAAGGTATCTGTTTATGTTAGGTTTAGTTAAAAATAATAGAAAATCCCAAAATGAGAGTGGCTGAAGCAAACTACAAACTGTTTTCAATCTTGTATTTCCAAAATGCATAGAGTGTCAACCAAGGCTGGGTTGGTGCTCTGAGGTGTCAGGGACCCTCCTCCTGTCTCTTGTTTCTCCATAATAGTGGCCTCCAATTTAGGTCAAGGTGGCAGCTGGAGCAGCAGTCATCATATTGCATTCCAACTATGGGAAAAAGAGTACCTGCCTCCCTTTAGTACACTTCCTAGAAGTTGTACATAATTTTCACTTGGATCCCATTGTGGAAGTTAGTCATTTGGACATAAATAGCTGCAAGAGAGTCTAGGAAACGTAGTCTTTATTCCAGGAAGCTATATGCCCAGGTAAAAACTTTCATTTTCATGGAGGAAAGAACTGCGTCTGCCATCATCCAGGGGCAGCAAGAATTCTATACTGCTATTACTCCCTTTTCCTGTTTGGCCCAGATAGCTCCTGAAAACCTCACCCATTAGCAAGAGAGCCTGGGCTGACATACTATTAGGAGATCCTTCCCTATTAGTGAATGCCACCTAGAAGTCTATTCTTTTGCCTTTTCACATCTGATATTCCTGGAGATAATTTTGATCTTCCTTGGCACTCTCATAAACTATTCCCAGGAACAATAACAACAAAGCAATAAGACGGTAAGTTAAAAGTTATGTAATAAAATGAACAACTCACCAAATGATGCTATATGTGTTTTTATGGGTACAAAAATGTATATGTAAACTGTAGAAGAAAACCTTGGAAGGTGCATGCAAAACTAATAATCATGGTTTCCTTTGGTGTTTTGGGATTTTGGTTTGTGATCAAATTGAACTTTAACTTACCCATAATGTTCTAAAGACTTAACAAAACAAGGTGTGTTTGGGGAGGTTGGAGGAGTGAGGAGTAAACTTGCTATATGGAAACTTTTACGAATTCTGGAGCCTCTTAACTGGATAGCCACTGTATCAATTGTAGGTTTTGTTTCTGAGGAATAGAAGCCAATTCTAATGAACTAAATAAAAAAAAGGGGAAGTTATTGGAACAGCTTTGATGATCATAGATTGAAAGAAAAGTTGAATGATGAGGTTATGTAGTAGCAATTAAGGACAGTCACTACAGCTCCAGCTGCTTTTCATCCTGTGGCTTTCTGTTTATGCTGTACAGTTCTCACGAGGTGAAGTGACGTTGGTCAAGCTTGAGGCATAATAATTAGCTGATGTTTAGGGGATAAGAGTTGTGAGTAAGCAAGTACGTTAATTGCCTGTTCTGCCAAGCTATAGAATGTGGGAGGGACCATTGCCCAAATAAAAATAAGGGTTCTGTTACCAATAAAAGGGGAGGCATGTTGGGGAGGCAAAAACAACAGGTGTGTTACCACGATCACAGAGGACCACATACCGAAATGTGTTTCATTCCTTCAGCCATAGTTTTTAGAACATTCTGTGGGTCTTTGGGGGAAGCTTGTGCTTTGGGACTAAGATTAATTCTGATTTTCACAGAGGTCTTTATTTGGTTATGCTGTAATGAACCACATTGTTTGACACATTTTCTGTACTTTTAAATTTCACTCAGAAATTGTTTTCATTATTGCTCTTATTTGCTGTGCTATCTACTCTCAACCTTTGTTTGGTTATGCTATAGGAAACAAGGGGTATGTGGGCTATTGTTTACAAATATTTGCTACTCTTCCCTGGGCAGGTCTGTACTTTCCCGTCCCCTTGATTTCAGGCTTGGCCGATAACATGTGAGTGCAAGTGACATGTGTCTCTTACAAGCAGATGCTCTAAGAGCCAGTGTGTGGCCATGTTCTCTTTTTCTTTCTGCACAATAAGCAAAGATGTATCAGGTAAAGGCTGTTTCATCAGCTTCCCACTTCATCCCTCCAAGGTGAAGAGCCACCATCAACCTGCTATTGAAACAGCATTATTGAGAAATGATCCTTTGTGATTGTAAACCACTGAGATTTGGGCCACTTGTTACTATAGCATAACCTAACCAGTCCTGACTAATTCACTTGTAAAATTAATTCTCTGTTCAAACTCCATGCAGAATTTCTAACTTATTCTGGTTTTAAATATAGAACACAAGCAAGGAAGTTAGGTAGAAACTGACCAAGTGATGAGAGGTTATCCTGTGAGCAATGGAGAAATAATGTGACATGTTTCTCTGGGCAAACAACTGACAAAATAAATTTCATGTTTTAGTGATTTAATATCAAAGCAGTGCACGTATAGGTATTTGTAATATGGAAGATTCACTTTTGGATGACCAGTGGATTGAAAAATTTCTTAAATATCCGATTCTCTCCATTGGTACTAATTTGTGGTTATTTAAAATGTATATTTGGCTGTTTGAATTATTAGTTGGTGTTGATATTACTACTACAAGCCAAGGTATATAAAGCTAGAAAAGCAAAAGCTGACAAATTATGATTCATTTAAAGTGTTGCATTTCTAGATCAACAAAATAATCAGTAGGTTACATATTGTATATGTTCATGTTGATTTAATGAAACCTGGTAGTAATTTCTCTTTAACTTGTCACAAAAGTAAATAACCAGGACCATTTTACCTCTTAAATATTTTTCAAATCTATCCCTTCCTATTCTTGCCACAACAGTGTGTCTGTAAAAATGTTATTTTTTATTGATTTTATATGGTTTCTCCCTCACTTCATGAACTTCCTCTTCTTTACAATTAATGATGTTCTGCCCTTTTACACCTCTATTCATATATTCCTTTGTAGTTACTGACGCCTCTCTCATTCTTCACCCCCACCTCTGCTCCAAACTGGCTAATGCTGTCTCATCTTCTACCATTTAGTATAATAAGTGCTTTTAAGTTTAAGATTAAGTGACTTCCTTGACTACATAGTACATTTCTCCTAATAACTCTTCTAATATCCATGCATATCTCTATTACAGTTATCACATGGTGTGACATTATAATATTTATGTATCTCATCACCTTTATGAGACTACAGGCAACTTGAGAGCAGGGATTATGTGCTTGGTACAGTACCTGGTAAATTGTAGACAATAAAATGTTTGCTGAATATATAGGAAATTGTGATATGAAGAAAGGATTATTATTTCACAAATCACTCTTGAACTCTTCATTATGTGGTTTAATGTTGCTTGATCAAGATCTTTGTGATAAATTTTCTCTAAATTTTGCTTCCAGAAAAATTCATTTTTCTTTTGAATTCTTAATGCTTCCTTTTAATTTGACAGATAACTCAACCTAGTTTCATTTCTTGACTTGATTATCTCCACTCATAGAGCTAAAATTAATGCTCTATCCCAGTAACTGAATTGGCATAGGTATCTCTAGTATTTTAATTTTCTTATATTAAATGAATAAATTGTATTTAAATTATAGGCAATTTAAAATTGTTGGGGTATATTGTAGTGAGTATATATTGTAAGGGTATGAAAATATTGTAGTGAGGGGTATAAATGTATTGACTTTTCATGGCACGATAAAAAGAATAAAATGGGCATGTAAATGAAATTAACTGTATCTGGCATGAGTATTGATATGGGCATGTATATTATTTATAGACTTGCTTCCAATTATTTTTAAATAAAGACTTCATAACTGTATGAAGTTTAATTGAGGAATCTAGTATATTGTAATAGTTGCATATGTTTTACAATAATTATGTATAATCTGTATATATAGTTTTAATGTTAAAAGAAAATTGTCATTTAGAATAAAGGGGAAGAATTGTTGGCCCCAGAGTGTTTGAAATATATTTGCTATCTGATGTATTATAACTGAAGACCTGCTTTTTTACAGGACATTAACAAGTGCTGGGAAAGACCTGCAGGACAACTTTCTGAAGGCTTTGGCAGTGAGAGAAGAAGACAATCGCAATGGAAAAGTGAGCGTGAGTACATCTCATCCAACTAAAAGTACATACACTAAAGGCACAGTTACTGTATAATATGTAGCTCATTGATAATATGACTTTTAATATCTTCCCCAAAAAGTAATTCACGAGGGATATAATATGGCTCTTTATTATTCGCATATTATAGGAATATAAGTAGAAAAATTTTTATTCCAATTTATATCTGTGGAAGTAGCACAGTGGTGAAAAAAATTTGTATTCTAATCATCTATTGCAGGGAAAATGCCTGTACGTGGCAGACTGGTTGTCCCTTCCAACTCTGTGCTATTCCTGAGTAGAAACTTCCTGCTTCTTTTTAGCTTGACCTCCCAGTACACTTCTCCAAGTCACACCATCCTTGGTCCCCAAGGTTTGCCCCGCCTACTTGATGTCATGCTATGTTTAGAAGATAGTGCCAGAGTCTGCCCTGTAGTCCTCCCCTGGGAGATGTGATATAAAGCACATAATGAGAGAGATGGCTTTGAGTCATCCAAGGAAGAACATGATCTTGCCTTATTAAAATGTGTGTTAGTTTCAAATATGTCAAGTTGTTAATATTATTTGGAATACATGTTTATTTTTACCCTCTGTTAATATAATATTAGCGATAACAGTCTTCTGTAAGTCTTAAAATGTCCCAAGTCAAGAATACAGTTTCATGCAGAAAGTGTAATAAGTGACTTACAGAAAAATAATCATAGTAGTATGATGAAAAATTTAGAGCAAAAGAAAAACATGTGTATACAGCAGTTTATTTTGCCAAAGTTTTCTCAATAAAAAAGTTGGAATTTTTCTCACTGTCAGGTCCCTTGAAAATTTCACTTATAGACAAAATTCTCAACGTACTTCAGAGAGAAAAAGAGTCATGCCTTGGTTATATAATTGTATAGAGTTAACCTGGACTTGAAATCAGGGAAAGTTTCTTGGAGGAAGTGGGCTAAGCTTTAAAGAGGTAGGTTGGAAATATGGGCAGAGACTGGATTCTGGAGGGCCTTGTAAATCACAATAGAAAAGTCTGGAATTTATCTGACTCTTATTTGAAAGAGCAGCTAGAAAGGTGGGAAGAAATGCAGAAAAATGTGCTGTCACAGGAATTCATGGACATTCAAGAAGCAGCCAACAATCATTAGTGATCAAGCAAGACAAGGACTGCAATAACTCTATTGTGTTTGGCAACATTTAAAAAATTATCCAGTCACAGGGATATAAAATACAGCATAGGGAAGATAGTCAATGATATTGTAATAACTGTGTATCGTGTCAGGTGGTTAATAGACTTACCAGGGTGATACCCCTGTAAGTTATATAAATGTCTAATCGCTATGTTGTATACCTGAAACTAATACAATATTGTATGTCAATTGTAATTGAAACGTTAAAAAACTTTAAAAAATTATTTGACAAGAACAAATTCCATCCATACTAAGGATGGAAATCAGATTCCATAGGGATGAAACAATGGTTCACAGTTAGACAGTAGCACCAACAAACACAAAGAGCTTTAGAGAGGATAAGCCCGCATGTTTTAGCACAATGGTACACTTGGTATGTCCTCTCAAGATCGCCTAAATGTAAGTCAAATCACATCAGTGTTCACCATTTCAACTGTCATTTACACAATTTAAACTCCCATTTTACTTTCTTTCTTTCTTTCTTTTTTTAATTGGGGAATTGGGGAATGGGAACAGTGCTGGGGAATTGGGGGGAGGGGAACAGACAAGTTGCTGTCCTTTTGCTCTTCAGTCTAGCCTTGGAGGATGCTGCTTCACAGGCCCAAGTTGGCACCATCATTTCGCTCTTCTCGGGTGAGGCAGATCTGTCGCTGGCTTCTGGACAGCTGCTCACTGCGGATGCTGGCCGCTCACAGTGGTTGCTGGCCGCTCACGGTGGCTGCTGGCTACACTCGGTAGCCCATGGCAACCCATTGCAACAGGGCCTGCAGCCTATGCTGTCGCAGGCGACTCACAGCAGCCCAGCTCCAGGTTGAGCTGTTGTTCAGCATCTTAGCTGTAGAGGGCAGTGTCACTGGCCCTCATATGTGGGATCCGAATCGGGGCCCTCAGGCATCCCAAGCCAGCTCTTAACCATCGCGCTACTTGGCCGGCCCCCATTTTACTTTCAATAGATTACTGACTGCAACAGCCTCTTAAACGATACACTTATATATTTTCTTGCCCAACTTTCATTCATTTTTCAATTACTCAAGACATATTTCTTGTGTACCTGCTCAAACCTGGGACTGCTCTAGACACTGGGACACTGCAGATTTTATGACCTTAAAGAATTTATATTTTAGAGAGGGAGACAGAAAATAATTAAGCAAAACAAAAGTGAAAGAATTAATTTCAGCTCTGGATAAGTGCTTTGGAGAACATAAAATTAGAAAATTGAATACAGAGTGGTTGAATACAGAGTGGTTGGTTGCTTGAACTACTGTATATAGAAAAATCACTTTGAGGAGGTGACATCTGTTGAGATTTGAAGGAAACGAAGAAGGTAACTATGAAATTTGGCGGGAGAGACATGCCAAACAGATAAATATTTGAGAGGGAGAGATATCCCAAGAAGAAGACATAGCGTGTAAAAACCTGAGATAACAGAAACCATAACATAGTCAAGGTAAGAAGACCAGAATGGTTGGAATATAGTTATCGAAGGGGATTATAACATAAAGACAGATGCAATCAGAGAGGAAGTCAGCAGCCAGATCATGTAGTTTTTAAGGAATTTTGATTTTATTCTTTAACTTTAATTTTTATTTTTGTATTATTGTAATAGAAAGTCGATAGATGATCTTAAGCAAAAAGTGACCTTATCTGGTTTACACTTTAGAAAGACTGGCCTTGCCGCTGCTGTGTAAGGCAGGTGATGTGGGGACGAGAGCTAAAGTGGAAGCAAGAAGTTAGGGAGTTCTTAAAATCAACCAGCAAGAGATGGCATTTAAAACAGCATGGTAGTAGTTGAAATAGAGGAAAGTCACTGAATTGTGTCTATGTTTTGGAGGCAGAGCAGACAGAACTTACTGATGGGTTGGATGTGGAATATTAGGGAGGAAATTTGGCTTCAACAAGTGGGTAGATGATGGTGGCACTAATTGCGACAGGAGAACTCTTGTTGAGGAATGCTTATTTCAGGAATCAATAATTAGTTCTGTTTTGGCTGTAATAATTTTGTGATACCTATTGGATATCCAGATGGAGAAGCTGTTTGGTGATTTATACATGTTGGTCTGGAACTTAGGGAAGAAGTCTTGGCTAGAATAGAAATTCATATTTCTATTCTAAATGGTTATCAACGTCTAAATGGTGTGTAAAGCCATGGACTTGCAAAAGTTTGCTAGGCAGAGAGTGTAGGTAAAAAGATTGAAGTCCTACGACAGATCTTTAGGACACTCCAGCTTTCAGAGATCTGAGATGTGTGGCAGAGCCAGTTAATGAGACTGAGTAGTAAAAAATATGAAAAAAATCAGGTGAGAGTGATACTACAAACATGGGAGAAGAAAAAAATTCAAAACAAAGAATGCTCACCATCTCAAAAGCTGCTGAAAGGTTAAATGTAATGATATATTAGTTTCCCACGGCTGCCATAACAAATTACCACAAACCAAGTGGCTTAAAACAACAGAAATACATCCTCTCACAGTTCTGGAGGCTAGAAGTGGGAAATCAAGATGTCAGCAGACTCATGCTCTCTCTGAAGGACATAGGAGACTGTTCCATGCCCTTTCCTTAGCCTCTGGTATTGCCAGCGATCATCGGTGACCTTTGATTTGCAGAGACGTCAGTCTAATCTCTGCCTCCATCATCACATGGCATTGTCCCTGTGTGTCTGTGTCTCTGTTTTCTGTTCTTATAAACACACCAGTTATATTGGATTATGCCCCCCAACTGAATATGATTTAATCTTAATTTTATTACATCTACAAAGATACTATTTCCAAATAAGGTCATATTCACAAGTATCAGGAGTTAAGAACTCAACATATCTTTTGGGGGGATATAATTTAACCCCCAACAAATGATTAAAAGTTTTTGGCTAGGAAAAAAATGTTATTGCGTTGGCGACGGTTGTTTCTATGGAGGTTTGTGGTTAAATGTCTCATGGGAGTACGAGCAGGTAGAGAAAAGAAAAAAGTATATAAGTGAAGATAAGGAGAAGCAGTTTTTAGGAATTTTGCAGTGAAGTGTAGCACAGACATTGAGTGACAGCTGATGTAAGGCCCGGTGTCCAGGAAGTTTGCTTTGTTGTGGTTTAAGAGGAATAATATTCACTTGTGTGTCAGTTCATGGAATGATCCGGTAGACAGAGCTATTGATGGGGTGTGTGTGTGTGTGTGTGTGTGTGTGTGTGTGTGTGTGTGTGTCGGGGTGGTGGTGGTGGTGGTGTAGGGATTACTTGCTGGAGAGAATGTCTTAAGAGGAAGAGGGGATCCAGAGCCCCAGGAACGGGTTTGCCTTAGAGGGGCAGAAGCCACTAGTGAAGTTAGAGCAGGACAGAAGGACGAAGGACAGAACGAGGATATAGGAACTTCTGCCAAGTAGGTTGGTGGATTTGAACCTGCGAAGATGCCATAGCTCTGCTGCGAGTTTATCTCTTTTCTCTATATTTTTCTCTATATTGTTGCTCCAAAGGTTTAATTGCATCATTATGAGTTGTTGTTTTTTTTCCCATAGAGAAAGTCCTGAATTTAACTTTTATTCAGAATGCTAAATATTTAACACTTAATATTGGGATATCACTGACTTGGAAGCTGGAATCTTGTCAGACTCATAACTTGCTGACTCTGAATATAACTTGGGCCTTTGAATTTGTGATATTATAATCAGAAGAATACATATTTTTGTGTGAAGGTTGGCAATTAGGCTTAATTTTCTATTTCCTCATTGTCTTAAAGCAGACTCCAAATGACTTTATAGCAAACTGTTTACAACCAAATACAACATATTTTAGAAAGACTAATTATTAGGATCATAAGCTTACTTAAAGCCATTTACTAA